AAAAGCTTTGGAGTATAAATTTTTAACTTTGTTCATTAGTTGACGATGAGCAGAGCATGAAAGAAGACTACGGCTTATTTGTGTGGCCATGCAGCATCGTCTTGGCCGAGTATGTTTGGCAACAGAGATTGCGTTTTTCCGGGAATCGTGTAGTCGAGGTATTTTTCCATCATTAATTCTGAGTTTTTGGCTTTGGGATTTTCCCAATAACGGTGTTTGTTTTGCAGCTCGGTGCAGGAACTTGCTTACCTGGGTTGGTAGCTGCTAAAGTTGGCTCCTTTGTCGCCCTTACCGATGATGCAAACAGATTGGAGGTAGAATTTTTACTTGCAAATATATTGTCTTTAGGTGAAATTTTGACCATTTTGTTCAAAATTTAAAGGCTTGATGCAAATTTGCCTTTGCTTAAACAGATTAGTGTAGTAACTACTATTATTTTTTTACCTTGTTTAAGCCATTGTCATTAAGTTTTTCACTTCACTATTTGCAGGTGCTGGCCAACATGAGAAGAGTGTGTGATCTAAATAATCTAAACTGTGAAGTAAACTGTCTTTCACTGATAACGTTCTATGTTCACTGCTTGAGTACTGTTGTTACTTCTTCAGCCTGGTGCCTGTATGAATTTCTGTTCATGGATTTGAGTTTTGGTTTTTCAGGTATTAGGACTGACTTGGGGAGTTTGGGATACATCCATATTTAGTTTACAGCCGCAAATTATTCTTGGGGCTGATGTTCTTTATGATGCGCGTGGTAAAACTACTTGTCAGTTGTCTAGATGTTATGCTTTTTTTTTCACTAATCAATTAACTTTTAAGCTGAAATGTTAATGGAAACTTGTGTTCGTTAGCCTTTGACGACCTCTTTGCTACTGTGGCATATCTGCTCCAAAGTAATCCAGGATCAGTTTTCATAACAACTTATCATAATCGAAGGTACTATTCGCTATTCTGTATCATTGGGATTCTGATGTATTTTTTGTCCATAATTTCTCAATGATGTGTGGACATTATGCTGGGGAACGTTGTCTTGTTCTCCCATATCAAGTTCTTATAAGTGTTTCTGCTGACGAATAATGTGCAGTGGTCATCATCTTATTGAGTTTCTAATGGTCAAATGGGGACTCAAATGTGTGAAGCTTCTTGATGGTTTTTCGTTGTTGCCATCCGATAAGGCAGCTAGGCTTAGTGGAAACATTCAATTGGCAGAGATTGTGTTGAAGCATGAGCGGATTGAGGTAATTAACAACCTTAAATTAGTGTATGGAAGTGTCTTGTTATGCAGCCATTCTGATGTGCATTCTTGCTTCTGACTGCTGCAGGAAACTTTTTCCTCTGGTGCCGGATGATTATGTGGTTTAGTTCATTTATATATTTGTCAATGTATACTACTTTTTGTAGCACAAATGAACTACACCATTAAAGACAAGCTTAAGTTTAGTAACATTGTACATTTCATGTTTGTTATAGACAATTGCTTGAAATAGAATTAATCCCATTTTGTCTGTCATTAGTTACAACAATGGCTTGCCAACAGGAGTAAATTGTGAAGCCACATGCAGCTTGTCAGTTTTACTCTCAGTAATCTAGTGATTGATGCATATGCCGGTTTCACTTTTACATTGGACATGGTCTAGTTGCTTGTTTGTATTTATCTGTCTTTCATCAATGAAAAGCCCCACCTTGAAAGTAGGTTTTGCATGTCAAAGGGCAAGCTCGTTTTTTCCTGCTTTTATTGATTTATGTTAATTTAGAATTAGGTTGGGCCTGAAGATGTAAAAGAACAGGGAACAGTTTAATCTTTGATGTGCTTTCCTAGATCTTTCTTTGAGGACTATAAATTTGTAGCATGTTATTGAACACTTTGAAGCTCAGACATGAAAGTATACGGAACTAGAACAAATCTGTATCTTGTTGTTTAATTATTCACTTATAGGTTGCAAATGCTGTTCTCACAGCAGGACACACCCAAGTTGTAAACAGGGCCAATGAAGAAAACCTAAAGCTACTGTAAGATATCCATAAGCGATAGTACCTCAACCTATTCTAATAGTGTAGCTGTGCTTCTTCAGCAATCAATTCTCGAGGAAAGGCAGCCCATTGATGGACAACCTGGCATTCATAGTTTAAAATATTAGAGAACTAAGCCAAGAGATCCTTAATTTACTACCCTACAATCTTTTCTAATCTCTTGTCCTCCGTTCAGGCTACCCATTTTGATCATAGAGTTCACGAAAGCCTTCTCAAAAGCTTGTTTTGATGAGGCAAACTTGTATACCAAATTTTTGGTCTTTGGATTTGTGAGCAGGGCTTGGTCTGAAGAAAACAGGGTCTTGCCCTGAAGGATCAGCTTGTAGTACGTGTTATCAAAAGTTGTTGAAGAAGGATCCATAGTCGCTCCAGCATTCTTTGCCTTGTTGTTGATCAGGCAAACACTCCTCAAGCTCGCTGCAAACGAGGGATGCATCGTAGGGTCTATGTCGTGCGTTGCGTTGAAGTTGCGGATTCTGTTCTGGAAGGATGAACAGTGCGAAAATCCAATAGTGTGGCCTCCTGCAAAAGCATCAGGTGCAACTTTTTGATCCCTTTTCCTCCTAAATATTGTAGAATCAGAAGTAAGCAATTTGTCAATTCAGTTACCTGAAAGAGCTACAAGGTCATCCATGGATAGACCTCTCTGAGAGAAGCTTTGTTGCAGTTGAGATATGTTGAAGGTTGGAGCTGGCAACTGTATGGTTTCACTAGCCTTCGACGTTCTCCCATCTTTTCTTCCCTTGGGCACATCCCACGTTGGACCTCCAGACTATCATGAATTCAAACAGACAATTAGAAATTAGTATTTGTTTTTTTCATTACCATTTTTTTCCTACAATGCACAGGTAGAAGCACTTGAAAGAAGTCAGTCTTACTAGCACGACAGCATCCCTTGCAGCCAAAGCCAAAATATCAGCACATGAAACTACACCAGGGCACGAAGCTTCAATTTCTTTCTTAGCACCTTCAATAACATAAAATCCATGCAAAGAAAGGTTGGCAGGCCCGTCTTTTTCTGCTTTATTATTTCCCTTGGAGTACAACAGCACAGAAGCATCACAACCCTTCAACCAAAGCAACCCGAAAACAAGAAAAAAGGTTAGTCAAATCTATAACCATCCAAACCAACTTCCAAAGATATGGTCTCTGAAACTCTACACCAATTACCCTTATGAAACAGTCATGAAAATGCAGCCGCAGAAGGGCAGCAGGGATTGTCTTATCCTTTGTTGTTGCACTCTGGACGGCCTTTGTAACTATTGACTCAACATCAGGGCACGTTTTCTCATAGTGATTCAAGCTAAGAGCATCAGCTGGTGAAGATGCGGAGAGAACGAGAAGTGAGCTCAACAGTGCTACGATCAAAGCCATGTTAAAAGAACCCTTTGGTCTTAGTTAGCCTTCAGCTTATTTTGCATGGAAACTTGGGAGAGTTATGCAGATATATATGAAGAACCACAGGCATCTGTTACTGATAACGGTGAGCTGGTGGCCCTGGAATAGTAATGAGAACTGCTTTAAGCAAGAATGATGAAGTAGTGTTCATCAAGCAAAGCATGCATCCTCCCCCAAAAGTCGCCACGCAACTGACCTTTTGTCATTTTCATAGCTTACAAAACAGAATCGTTCACCTTTTTTGTTTCTCCCCAAAAGTAAAGTTTGATCCAACAGAAAAGATAGAAGCTCGTGCGTAATCAAGGAAAAGAAGTACCTTCTCTTTTCAGTGGTTAAAATGAAACAATCAGAGTCGTTATTTGTGTTTTTCAAAGCTTGTTTTTCAAGTCTTAGCTTCGTTTGTTACGTTGGGTATTGCTAACAGTGGTATCTGCTGGGTTCTTTTACCTGTTTTTCATGATTATTAAATTGAATATATGGTAGAATTGGAGGTTCCCCATTTTCCTTTTTCTCCAGGCCACAACATGTTCCCCATTTTCCATCTGCTTTAGATGTTGTTTTCATGCTTTGCCCATTTTAGCCAAGCACTCGGAAGATTGTCATGGTATCATCAAACTGTGGACTCTAGCATCAATGTGTTGCTTAAAAGTTGGAACTGATGGAACCCAAACAATATTTAGGTCCAAACCTACCCCACACTTCACCTTCATCTTCAGATTTCAATCAAAGTTAGTAGCCTAAAACCAGAGCTTGATTGGGCTGGCTTACAAAAGAAATGGGTTTCAAAACCAAATCATTTTACAAATAATGGGTCCATAACTCTAACCAGCCTAGCCGAGCAGCACAAAAAAAGGAGATGAGTCTTTGGAGGGAGAGTTTAAATTATATTAGGACGATCTCAAAACAACTGATTTTTTAGGTATAAATCAAAGTTATATATAATATAATAGAAGAGTGTTGTTATTGTAGAATTAACAATATTACATGCTCTTAGAGATTGTCGTGCCTCAAGAGAGCTGTGGTTACAAATTAAACTTGATAAATTTGGAGAGGATTTCTTTACTTTATGCCTTAGAGAACGGTCCCTGGTGAGCATGTCAAATAATACCACGGTTGAAAATATTCCCTGGGGTGTAAAATTTGTCTATACTTTATGGTTTATCTGGTATTGGCGTAACTTAAGCATCTTACATTCTTCTTTCTCTTGGCCTTACAATGCCTGACAGCAGATATGGTCCAAGTCGAAGGAGGCATGGGATATGTTGAAGTAGAATGAATAAGGAAATTATGAAATCCTGGGAAATGCCTAATCATTCTTTTGTTAAATTGAATGTTGATGGAAGTGCACAAGGACAGCCATGGGTAGCTGCCGCGGGGGGTTTGCTCAAGGATGAATATGGTAATTGGGTAGTGGTTTTCACGCACAAAATTGGTTTTATTTTTTCATTAACAGTTGAATTATGGGCAATTTATCAAGGCCTGAAGTTGTGCTGGGATAGAGGCTATAGGAGAATCTAGCTGAGTCTGACTCTTTATTAGCATTACCAAAAATCATAGGCAAAAGTATCATATTTGATCCTAATGCTAATCTCCTGAAATTCATTAAAAAATTACTTAATCGAAATTGGAATTGTTCGTTATTTCATGTTTATCATGATGCCAATCAATGTACCGATTAGATAACTATCCATCATGAAAATTTAGATTTAGATTTATATATTTTTGAAATTCTTCTTGATGGTATTGTTATATGTTTATTTGTAAACTATTTAGGCATAGTTTGACTTAGAATGATGTAAGCGGTTTTATTTTACTCCATAATATATAAAAAAAACAATAACACAAAAGCTTTAATTTATAGAGATAAATCAATCTTATACTGAATGCAATTTACTAATGTAAAAATGTAATTACAGTGGATGATATAAATTTTGAAATCAATTTAAAAATTAAACCCTATTTGGTTTTTAATTTTTATTTTCATGTCTAAATATAAAGTAGTCATTCGGTTTATTTTCAAGAAATAACATTTTTGTTTCATGAAATTGGTACTACTATATTTATAAGCTAAAATGTTAAATTTTGTAAAAATATGTTATTATGAATTATATAATGTATCTATAATAGCTTTAATATCATCAATCATTTCATTGCCCAATTACAATCATTATTCAAAAAGTTTGTTCTTTTAAAGGGTTGCTATAACAATAATAAAAAAAATGATAAGAAATTGGGAGGATAGAGATAATGATATTGGAAAAGGCAGGCAAACTCCAAATTTTATAACTTAGAAATGTAAGAATGCTATAATCAGTCTCTTAAAATCAAAACATATTTACAATCCTATGTAATTATGCCACTAGCATGAAAAAAATAGGAAGCTAAAAATGCTTCCTTTCCCTGTATACCTATAGCAATATGCCCATGGTACAGGTATGTAGTGGGAGGAAAGCCTCTGAAGTAAAGAATTTGATTAAATCAGGGCAAAAAAGGGAATGAGAGCAACTATGAGTGCATAAGACAAAGTTTTCATCTTGGTTGATTGGCTTGCCATGGGTGGTGATGCCCCGGAAATGTGAGATGTATTACCATTCCCTGCTGTGGCTTCAGGATTGACAGCAACAGCAGGAGGGACTGCAGTTGGCGGCCTGACAGGTAAAGTGTTTGAGGCCTCAATGTCGTAACCTGTAAGAATCAGATCTCATTACTATTAGAGATTTAAAAGATCGATTGGACACATACAACACATGGGAAACAGAAGAGGAATTACTCACAGTTGGATGCTTTCCAGCCCAGTACCATCTTCTCACGATCAAAGACTATCCGATAACCAGTCATGAAATTTTCTGGATTCAATTTAATGAATATGTAAGAAGCAATCAAGCATTTGCTCAATGCCCAGAAGGGGAACAAAATGAAACAAAACTGACTCAATGCCCCGAGAAACTAATGGCTTGTATGGCTTTGATGAAGTCCAGCAACAACTTGAGGAGCTACATCATTTTATAGACAAGGAGATTTAGCAACATTCGATCCCACATCACTCCAGTGTTTGTAAGATACGAGATGAATGTGTCTT